AGAGACTGGCCTGGCAATTATGGAGAGCGGAAAGCCTGACGGGCCTATAAAACTGTGCAGTGTCATCCCTCAAAATAGGCTGCAACCATCCTCTGGGGCCTGGGGTGGGGAGGGCACCAAGCCACAGGATAAAAGAAGGTAAACACTTGGGATGCTTCAATTTTACTGTATTTAAGGGTGTAGGGAGCACATTCGGTTTATATCAAAAATAAACATGGCAGTATGATAAAACAGAATGCAAATTTCTCAATATTACAAAGACATTTTGAGCTGGGAGTTATAGCTACAGGGGCTTTCACAGGTGCCCCTTCATCTTAGGTGTTCTTTGTGCGACCACTTGTGAAGTGCTCATGTAGTATCAGGAAGTGATGACTCACCAAATACAAAAGAAGGCGTTTCTGATGTGCAAGTTTACTCTAGATTAGATTGGATAAATTTCATATCATGTATAAAAATATGAATAATGGGAATCTTTTTTAAAGAAGATTATTTATTTATTTGAGAGAGAGAGAGAGAGCACAAAGCAGAGGGAGCGGCAGGTGGAGAGGGAGAAACAGACTCCCCCGATGCAGGGCTCAATCCCAGGACCCTGGGATCATGACCTGAGCTGAAGGCAGACGTTTAATGACTGAGCCACCCAGGTGCCCCTGAATAATAGGAATCTTAAAGCACCTTCTAGATAACAGGTCCTGAATGGGAGGCAATTTTGCACTCCCCACCTGCACCCCATGGGGTACATTTGTCAATGACTGAGGACATTTTCGGAGTAGGGGGTGACATTACTGTCATCTAGTGCTGAACATCCTATAATGCACAGGACAGCCCCCTACAACAAAGGATTTCCCAGCCTACAATGTCAATGGCGCTGAGGTTAGGAAAACCTGCTCCAGCCAACGTGTCTATAAACACACAGAAAACAGGTGGTCAGAAGGTCAAAGTCAGGCCGAGGGGGTCAGGGCCCGCAGAAAGCCTACGAAGGCAGGCACAGGGCAGGGGAACAAGGCATGTCCATCTGTACCAGGGCGGGAGACAAAACGCAACCTCTGAGACATGGCTTTAGCTAGTTGCTGGGCCAGAGAGAATAGAGACTGGATTTAGAATTCAGGCCATAAATGGAGCTGTGATGTGGTGTTTGAAGACATGCTTTTTCGGGACTGTGGAAGTCGCTGTACACTGTTGATCAGAAATTTGCCACCTCCTCCAGGAAGCTGACTTAAGCCTCCAAATGCAACTGACTGCCCCGCCCAGTGCTCGGGCTATAGGTGTGAGGCCTTTATTACCTTACCAACCACAACATTCTGCCATTGGTTCCCAGAGTGAGCTGTGAGTGCCTCGAAGACAAGACTTGGGCCTTTTCAAGTATTTCTTTTTGGTCCATGGTATCATAGAACAAAACAATAGCCATAAAATAGTTGTTTAATTGACATCAATGCTGTAGTCTCTTCCCAATATTAGAAATGCGACCTGCACACATGTGAATAAAACACATTAAATGGGAAGGAAAAAAGGAAGTGATCTACTCTTTTCATCTGGGAAGATCATTTAGCAAAATCTTCAAAGACCTGTTTATACTTCTTTTTTGATGTTAACCATCTGTTTGACTGCCTCCCTCCCCCCCTTCTTTAGCCTTTTTAGCATTTTCCAGTAATAGTGCAGTTCATCTTGAAATTTCACTGGTGCATCTCATAAAAGGGTCACAGTCTTGGTTAATGTTGTTTTAGACACAAATGCCTGAAATCCGAGTACAGAGCAGTCTGCCTTCTCTACACAACTAAGAATAAAAATACAGCTCTATGATTCATTAATTTGCTAATAACTTTTCCCTGTAAAAAGTAGTTTGACTCTGTTCAGCTTTAATTAGAATAAAAAATTCATTTAGGCTTTCTCCTTCCTCTTCATATTTAAAATAAGTCATTCTGTAGACTGAGAAGGAATCAAGCATTTTTGGGATAAAAGGCAATTTTCCACATTAAAGTATTCTGGGACGGTTCAGTACCTTCCTGTTCTTTAAATTCCCAAGATGTAAGAAACACATCTCAAGCCATCCAAATATCAACGCCACTTACAAAACAAATCAAAGGATTATTCTTCACCTATAAAATCACTTATCAAGCCAAGATTCAACCCAAGATTGCTTTCATTCAGCAGCCCTTACTCTCAAACCCATTCAAATTCAGATGGTATTTACACATCTTTTCAGGAACCCCAAGAACTTTCCAAGAGCTCAGAAGGAATGATGAATGAACCCAACCCTTCATTTTGCAAGTGAGGAAACAGGCTCAGAAGTCAATATGAACTCTCAAAGCTGCATAATGGTAACAGCTAGGACTTATCAAGGGCCCACGGCTTCTCACATCTTTATCACTTCCACCGGGTGTCTGAGCCGCCATTATATCTTGCTGGCCTGGTGGAGGAGTCCTGTTTGTACCCTCCCTCCTGGGCACTCCCCGCCCCACAAAGGCCACTCCACACAGCAGCCAGAGGGATGCATCTACAACAGAGGGAAAATTATGTCACTCCTTTGCTCAGAAACTTCCAATGTCTTCCCCCCTCTCTCAAGTAAAAGCCAATCCTCACATGGTCTATGGGGCCTAGTCTATTGGTAATTATTTATCTCTTCTGTCGAAGCACCCAACACTCTTCACATACTTCACCTGGGACTTTTTCCTTGCAGTTCCCTCCACCAGAAACCTCTTCTTCCAGACTTCCAAAGGACTCCCTCCGCCTTCCCTTTCTTCAGGGGTCTTATCAAACATCACTTTACCAGAGGTGGCTTCCCTGTCCACCCCTATGTAAATAACACCACTCCACCTCCTATCTCTCTCTCCCACCTTACTTTCTTTCCTATTTTTTTCTAGCACTTTTACTGCCTGACATATTATGTATTTTTTTGTTTATGGACTGCCTTTCCCCACTAGAAGATCAACAACAAAAAAAATCCCTGCTGGATCCCCAGTGCCTGGCACTTGGCAGGCACTGAGTATTTTTGTAGAGTGAGTGCTACTATGTACCAGGTACTATTCTAAGGAAGGTACAAGAACCCATTTACTTAATCTTCCCAACAAGAAGGCACTAGCAACATCACTGTCATCTCTGGTTCACAGATGAAGAAATTAAGGCACAGAAAAGCTTAGAAACTTGTCCAAGATCACTCAGCTAGTAAACTGTAGAGACAGGATTTGAACCCAGGGCACAGACTCTTTAACCACCAAGATGTATTCTGTCACACTTAACTAATGACAAAAAATGACTTCGATGGTTTTTCCCCATACCAGACTCTCAGAAACCGAGATATATCCAAGTGTGCTTTCAAAATGTCAATAGTTTCTTATAACTGCCTATATATTTTAAACAATCACTAAGGTGTGATTTTGAGCTAAGACTTGCAAACAAGATCAAAAATGTGAACCACAACTGTGTTGCATTTGAGTCTCTACTTCAGAGTACACAAAGGATAGGAATGTGGCGTACTGATGTGTGCAGGTAATTCTCCCTACTGGACTGAGATTACTATGATTAGCTCTGGTCCATAAAGGGAAAGCTAAGACACAAAAGCTGCAGTGATATTCCAGGCCACACAGCCAGCAGCTCTGGCCGGAAGGGAGCCTGTGAGGGCCCCTCTGGGACTGCAGCAGGTCACACATGCTCCCTGCTTATGAGTGTAAAACACCCTGGTGATTCATGCAATGGAATGTTTAAACCAAGATGTCACCTAATAGAGAGTATGTTGATACAGCTTTATCTAAGAAGTTACATAATCATCCTAATGTGGAAATGCCAAAAAGGAATTTGTGCCTTGGACTAAAAGAGGGCTGTACCCCTGGGAATTACTCCACAAAGGATATAAGGAGTTTCCCCGTGAGAAACTTATTGGCCCTCGCGTGAAAAACAGGGCCCAGTGGGGGCGGAGGACTCACTGGGAGCAGTTACGCTTGGTAAGACACAGCCAGACCCCTGTCCTGGAGAGCCTCCAGGGTCGCCCAGACCTGCCCATCAGTCCAAAAGGGAGAGAGAGGCCTATTCTGTATCTAGCCTCCTGGGATTTAAAAAAAAAAAAAAAAAAGTCCTTACCCTGAGTCCTCTCTGCCTCTTGCTTTCGGGTCAAATATTTATTTACGCAAATCTAGAGCCCTCTCATTATCTTTCTACCCTAGAGGGCCGAACGAATCTTCTCTTCCACTTTGTTGGAATTTTCTGAAAGAAATCTGGAGCTCTGGAATACCGCCCCCTCCCCTCCAGTCTTCCATCGACCTCAGCCTCCACCGTTCCACCTGCCCCAGGACGTGACAGAAGAAAGGAGGTTGGCTGGAAGGGAGGGGCGAAGGTGTCACAAGCACCTGTCACCTGGCAGGCCCTGGTCCCTACTTCCCCAGCCCGCAGGGCCGCCGCGCTCCCGCACGCCCCGACTGCGACTGGCCCGTCCCTCCCCCTTTCAGCCTCCCGCCACCTTCCAATGGCCGAGGGGCAGGGCAAGCTGAGCAAGCCGCGGCAGCCCAGCCGGGTCCCCGCCCTGTTCCCAGTTCCTGAGCCGGGCCCCAGCGGCCTTTAAATGCCGCCCAGGGCCAGCGCGACGCGGCCCTCGTCACCTTTCTGCCTCGGGAGGCGACAGCAGCACCCCGAGGAAGAAAGCAGCCCGGACTCTGCAGCCCCGGCCCCGGCAGCGGCGGCCACCTCCGACCTCCCGGCCCGCACCGCCCTCCCGCTCCCTTCCCCCTCCACCCCGGCCCAGCCTGCCGGGTCGGCGCCTGGCCTCAGGCGTGCGCGCGCGTGCGCGCCCGTGTGTGTGTGTGTGTGTGTGTG